GCGGCGGCGGCAGCAGCAGCGGCGGCGGGAGTCCGCAGTCCTACGAGGAGCTGCAGACGCAGCGGGTCATGGCCAACGTGCGGGAGCGCCAGCGCACGCAGTCGCTGAACGAGGCGTTCGCCGCGTTGCGGAAGATCATCCCCACGCTGCCCTCGGACAAGCTGAGCAAGATCCAGACCCTCAAACTGGCGGCCAGGTACATCGACTTCCTCTACCAGGTCCTCCAGAGCGACGAGCTGGACTCCAAGATGGCAAGCTGCAGCTATGTGGCCCACGAACGGCTCAGCTACGCCTTCTCGGTCTGGAGGATGGAGGGGGCCTGGTCCATGTCCGCGTCCCACTAGCAGGCGGAGCTCCCCACCCCCTCGGCAGGGCCGGAGACCTAGGTAAGGACCCGCGCCTCTGTGCCCCTTCGCCGCTCAGGTGGCAGACGGACTGACGGCCAGGCCGCGGCTCCCTGTCCACCTCGCCTTCCTCCCCCTTTCCCCTCTCAGCGTCCCCACCCAACCTGGCACCGCCACCTCATCCCCCGAGCGTCCCTGGAAGGCGGTTCGGTCCCGGCTAGGGAGAGAGGGATGCGCCCTTGTGAGGGGTGTGCGTGTGCGTGAGTGTGCGTGACAGACAGCAGGGAAGACTGAAAAAGATTCAAGGGTCCTGGGTAAGGTCAATCTTGCCAGCGCCTCCCTTTCTTTTGGCTTTAAGTTTTCGTTCTCCTTGAAACAAATGTTTCCAAATTCCACCTCCTCCTCCTTTCCGCCCACCCACTTCCTCTTGCCCTTGAGCTGAAATCCTTCCAGGTTGTTCAGCGTAATTTCTCAGTGGTGGTGATAAGAACAGTGCTCACTAGTCTTAGAAAACAGCCACCGAGACCTAAACAATAACCAACTTTCCCCCCTCTGGGTTTTTACAGATGTCATTGTTGCCAGAGAAGGAGAAAATGGACAGTCTAGAGACTCTGGAGCTGGATAACTAAAAATAAATATATATGCGAAAGATTTTCTTGGAAATTAGAAGAGCAGACCCAAATTCAAAGAAACAGGGCGTGGGGCGCACTTTTAAAAGAGAAAGCGAGAGAGGCCCGTGGACAGTGATTCCCAGACGGGCAGCGGCACCATCCTCACACTCGACATTCTGATAGAAGTCTGAACAGTTGTTTGTGTTCCTTTTTTTTTTTTTTTTGACGAAGAATGTTTTTATTTTTATTTTTTCATGCATGCATTCTCAAGAGGTCGTGCCAATCAGCCACTGAAAGGAAAGGCATCGTTATGGACTTTCTCCATTTTAAAATGGTAACAATCAGAGGAATTTTAAGAACACCTTTAGAAATAAAAATAGTGAGATGAAACTGACTTGCAAAATCAGTCAGTAAATTCCTTTTTTCATTCTTCCTCTGAGGGAAAAAAAAAAAACTTAAAATACAAAAAACAACATTCTATTTATTTATTGATGACCCACGGTAAAATGCAAATAGATCCGGTGTCTAAATGCATTCATATTTTTATGATTGTTTTGTAAATATCTTTGTATATTATTTTTCTGCAATAAATAAATATGATTGAAAATTTTAAGAACCTTAGAGTTTGGTCTATATTTTTAAAGCTTAGGATTAAGTTGGAGGTAAATACCTGCTTGTTTAACTCTGGAGGCACCCAGGAGGGAGGGGCACTAATATAAACAAAGCAGGGAAAATCTCAAAGGAGCTACTGACAGGCACAGGCATGTTATTTAGAAAGACAGCTTTATTATTATTCCAGTTAGGTGTCCAGTGGGCTTAGCAGCATCTCTCCATCTTTTATCAGGTCCCCAACCAGCAAAAACTTAAATTTGTTACTCACCTGTCTTACTTATATTTTGAGTAGGCAGCTGTAAAACAGTTAAATACAAATAAGTAGTATGAAGCCAGCACTGTTTCCTCTTGTTACTGTGTATTGTTGTCATGCCCTCCACTCTTTGTGAGGATTTTTAAATAATAGGTTCATTTCTGTGAAAGGATGCAGGAAAGAGAATTCCATTTGTAAAGTAATTTGCTTAACTCTTCTCTTATGAATGAAAATTACATTTAGTGTCATGTTTGCTAAAAAGAAAAGCCAAAGTTAAGAATATCTTCCCATGTTGATCTTATCCATTTGGGAAGCATGCTTCTTCCTTATGTATAAAGAACATACAGCTATGGAGTAAAATACACTCAACAAAGAACCTGAACTTTCATTATCCTTGGTATCTATTGGAACAGTTACAACTTTAAATGCTATACCTATTGATTTTCTACTCAGTTCATAAGCAAATATATTTTATCCCAAATTACACAGACTTTTTCTTGCTTGTATGTATACAAAATCTGATGAAGTTAAGTAAAACAATAACAGGGACAAATAGTACTTGATTTTTTTTTTATTCTGGTTATTTCTGGGCCAGGAAAATATTGGCATTTATAATTAATATCATTAGAAATAGTGAGTTTGTATCGCTTAGTTCTTAACTTTTATATCCAGTTTACTGTGTTCAAGTGTAATTAGAGAAGCTTTCAAACTGGAAAATAATTTTGCTGCCTAATTCAAACAATGACTATGGCAAATAAGTGTATGAATCAAAACAGATCATGTTTGCTCAGCTCAGGTTAAGGTTATTATATTGCCTGAAGGGTTTTGCTTCCCTCTCCACACATCATCATAGAATGTTGACATAACAATATTGTAAACTTATTATTGTGAATATTTTAGACCATATTTTACAATAAGGAGCCAGTAGCATTTTCTTATTTTAAAAGATTGGTGAAGGCTTGGGGAATTTATTTTTGGATTTTGATAGTCCTTTACCAAATAATGAGACAGGAAAGTGATTATGTGTGGGTGTATTTGTGGGGCATGGGTGTATTTGTGCAGTGTGTATGTGTGTGTGTGCATGTGTGTAGGGCAGAAGTGTAAGGAGGGTGCCCTAGAAGGCTGAGGGAGAGCATCAAGATGGTAATTCTCTCTTTTGTGTGTATCATCCAGCCACCTCCATTTTCTAAATTGTTCATGGAGGAATCTTGTTCACTAGCTTGGTCTGACTATTTGATATTTCAGATTTCTTGACGTACATCAGGATGGAGCTGACCATCATTGCTGAGAAGGTAATCTCTATCTTTTAACTCTGATGATACAAAAACTAGATGTTTCAAAAAAAAGATACCTTCCATTTGCCTTTTTCTTTTCTTTCTTTCTTTTTTTTCTTTTTTTTTTTTTTTTTTGGTGTTTTATTCTCTCTACTTTCCTCATAAGAGAAAACACTTTGGAGAAAAGCAAATGCCACATTTATGTCGAGTAATACTAAATACTAAACTGAAGGTAATATTTTCCCCTAGATTTTCCAAGAAATAAATAAATGAATGAAAGAAAGGTGGTGAATAGTTTTACTTTGAATGAGAAGAATTCACAGTGGAAAATGTTAAGTATTAGAATACAATTTTCAACTTTATACTATTTCTGTATTCCCAACCTCCCCCCCATACACATGATAATGCTAATACTTTTTTAGAATAGGAATGAAGCCACCTGTGTTTCTATCTCTCTACCATTATTTCCTGTTTTCAATCTTTTTTTCATTTTATTTTTGCTACCTATTCCTATTTAAAAGACACTTAGAATGAATTATGTCTGTTACAGAAGTGAGAATTTAATGTGGTGGCTGGACCTCAGAGTCTTTACCCTTTAGCTAAAATGTATTCACTGGAGGGAAAGTATTGTATTAAATTGTCTTGGGTGAATTCTAAACAATTAAGAATGTTTCCTTTACTGTACACATAATGTTTTAAATCTTGCTTTTAATTTCGTTAGACTGATAGCCTTCAGTCATAAGAAAGCAGTAACTTTTTGTCCCCATACACACACATTTCCTCTCTTTGTGCACACACTCGCTGAGCAATGCACAGATGATCAGTCACGCACAGTTGCAAGTACCCTCCCCAAAGTGGAACATATTATTAATACAATAACGTTAAGTAGCAGAAACTCACACTATGTGTGTACTTTCTTTCCCACACTCAACAACGGCATAAGCTTCTTGCTCCTTCTGTCTTCAGGCTCATATTCATAATGGAGCTTTTTAAGGGACACTTGGCCTCTTGCAAAAAAGTCGAGCATTTTGCACATTCCACGGTTTGGCAAAGTCAGAACTGGTTATTTTCTCTAGACCGGTATCAAGTTCTTCTCAGGCATATGATTTCACTTGAAGTCCTGCCCAGGAATCCTTCAAAGTGAGCGTTTGTCCCGCTCTCATGATGTCAGGCGGTTTTCCCTGCATCTGTAATTTGAAGAAAAACAAACAAACCTGTGGGGAACAAACGCCACGGAAACCCAAACAGAACTCCGTGGGGAGCGGGAGTCTCACCTGCGGCGGGCGCAGGAGGGGGCGCGAGCCCAGACTCCCCGGCGTGGGTGGCGGGCCGGACCCGCACCGCAGAGAGGGTGGCAATGTCCGTGCCCTGCTCGGATGGCGTGGACGGCCCCGGGCCCCGCGTCTGGCCGCTGCGCGAAGGCGGCGGCTCCAAGTGTCAGCGGTAGCAAGGGAAGCAGCAGCAACAGTCAGGCAAAGGCCCAACCTCAAATTTCCAGAGACAGGCCCGCATTAGCGACAAACAGGGGTCGGGAGGGGGATCCCCGGGGGCCACTTTTCCAGAATTTTCTGCTCGTGTGTCGTAAAGCATGCCCCACCCCCAGCACCAGCGAAAGTGGAAGGAAAGTGCACCGGCAAAGTGGAAGGAGAAATCGGTTTCCTCATAGTTTCTCACAGCCGGCAACCCCACTATTTCCCAGAAACCTCGAAACTGAGCCCTCGAAAATGCAAACAAGATGATTAATTATCCTTATTTACTGAACAGCGAAGTAGACCCAGTAAACAGGGTATGGGATACATTTTCCATTCGCTTTTGTCTCAAGGCCCCGGGACGTGAGCCCACTTAACGTTCTTAGCAAATCAAAGCACATATCCTTTGAAGAAGGTGTGTAATTGGAGTTTAAGGCATGTATGGAATTCCCAGATGTCTATAAAGTAAGAAGGAGCATGTGGCAGGTCACTGGAAGGTGGGGCAGGTTAAAATCACTGGCACAAAATCCCCCCTTTATATTCTCCCTTTGTAAGGGCCAGGAAGATAAGCCTTGGGGAAAGGATGGGACGGGATCATAATGCATATCCAGCTTTTCGTATCAGAGTCATAGTAACCATGGTAAAAAAGCACATGGTCAGAAAACCTCAAAGAAAACACTCAATTATAGCCGGGATTTCGTGGGCGCCCTGCAATGAGATCGTTAGGGGTTTGTTGCAGCGAGGGCCTCGAACGGCCGGTCTTGTTTACGTGGACTATTTTCTTTTCCTTCTATTTTTTTTCCCCCTCTCAAGTTTGTGGATGTGTCTTCGTTCTTCTGCGTGCGATTTAGGCTGAAGCCAGCGAAACAAAATTCCAGATTAGGAAAAGAAAAAACAATTCTAAAAACATTCGTCCCAGAAGGCAGCCTTCTTGGGGGAGGGGAGATTGCGAGCGAGTGAAATTAAATTTCTGTAAAAACGTGCAGTTTAAACATCTACCAGATAGAGCGAATGAAAGACAACCGTCAAAATCAGCTGCTCCCTCTTCTCACTTCACTGAGGAATATGCAGATATGTATGAGACTGTGGAATCTAAGCTCGAGTTTGTTGCTTATTAGGCAGTTTTTTTGTTTTGTTTTTGATCTGAAGTCGGAATCGAACGAAATATGACTTTTGTCCTTGGGTTCAAGATGGTGCCCTCATTTACCTGCACAGTCCAGCCAGAGGCGGAGACGTAAGGATGGGGGTCTGCCAAAGAAACTGGCCCTGGGAAAGACTGGCGCTGGGAGGGGGGCGATGTGGGGTCATCCCGGGCTGGAGCAGGCTGGAACAAAGCACACCAGGGACCGGGCCACTGAGGCAGGCGGGAGGGGGGACAGGGACGCGCCGGGGGTGACGCGAGTGTGACAAGTGAAAAGTTAAGCAGGTACCTGAAGGAAGTTTATCTTGCCCAGATGTTAGGGCTTTTATGAAATGTCACGTGAAGAGAACAGATGTACAACTTGCGAATGGGGCCACGCCTGTAAATATAAGGGAGGCAAATACTTGGAGGGAAATCCAGGCATAAATCGTCAACCTCTTTTTCTACATATCTATTTTCTCCTTTAAATATTTGTTTCCGGAAAGGGACGACATATTAAATTGTTAAGTGCGTCTTCCAGGAGAAGTCACAACTCCATCTTCTGCCCAGCACACCTCATCCCCTAGGTGCTTTGAGTGCGGAGAGTTGGGGTGGCAGGCAAATTTCTCCCCTGTTGGCGTTGTCCTTCTTCACAGTCCCCATCCCCCACGTTTCTCTCTTGGCTTCTCAAAGACGTTTGATCCTGAGAAACGAATCGGATCTCGGTTTGGAAAAGCTGAAACTAATCAATTGCCTTTCTGAAGGGGTAGAGAGTGATAAGAAGGGTGAAGGAATGCCAGGCCTGACAGACCCTAAACCTTCAA